TCATTACCTCCATCATCGTATTCAGGTTTTTCAAAGGGTGCTTCTGTTCTTATGTTAAGTTTCATGCTTCTATTCTTTTGAAAAACTCCAATAGCCTTGGTTTTTGGTGAGCAATCATTTCTAATCCCCTTTCACCTTCAAAGTGTTTATTTTCTAAGACTATTGAATTCGCATATCTTCTAAATGCTGACTGAATATCTCTGACCTTAAATTTGTTTTGTATTGCGTGTTTGGTTAGTAAATTTTTGACTTTTCCTTCACTGAAGCATCTTTTGCCTTGTTTAAAGCATAACTTCTGTATTCATTAGCTTTCTTTACTGTTAATAGTTTCTTTGTTAAAACATTAGATATGGGTTTGTCTTTGTTGTATCTAAATTTCTTGCTGTCTATTACTATTGATTTCAATTCTTTTCTTCCTCTTTTTGCTATCTCTGCTAAATCATTACTCAATAGATAGTCTATAATTTTTTTCATCATATAATATTGTATATTTTATTTAGTTAATTTATCTTTAAGTAGTTTTTTAAAGAATGCCTTATTTTAATCTTTTTTGAATATATACTTAAAGAATAGTTAAGTATATTAGTAGGATGGATTGTGCGAAGGATTTACCCGTTGATGTGCTGAGTAAAATTGTTTCTTATAAAATTGGAGACCCTAAATATTTGAGAATTAAATGTTGCCATATTGAGGCATTGAAGAGAATACAAGACAAATATAAGATTTCAAGACTTGGTCCTAAAATAGCAAGACATTTGAAATCAAGAAAAAAAAATATAATTGAATACTGTATTATGAGAGAGGGAGTGCCATTTAGTTTAAAAAGTTTAGAAGACATAATAACAGAAGAAAAAAAATAATTATTATCTTTAATTTATGAAGAAGTAGAAGATGATTTAAATTATAGAGTTAAACTTGATATTGAAGTCCAATTAGTGGCGAGAGATTTATTTTATGAATGACTTTGATGAATATGTGGATGAAGATAATGTAGATGAACTGTTAGAGAAAGCAGTTGAAGAAATAAAAGCCGACATAGAAGAAGACCAAGATAAAGATAGTATAATAGGAATACAGGCATTTCATTTTAAATTCGTAATTATTGAAGACATTTACTACTAGCATATTTCTAATAATATTTATTTATTAGAATTATGAATGATTAAGATAGGATTATTAAAGGGTATGGATTTATATTTATTGTTGTTCTCTGTTTTGATTTTTATATTGTGCTTTGCTTGGTCTGTTTTTTTTTTGTTTGTTGTTTGATTGTTCCGTTTTGGGTATGGAATGGATGAGGTGATGATGTATTGACTGCTGTGATTTTTATAAAATGGATGAGGTAATAGATGGTTAGTAGTTATGATTTTTTATTTACATGAATGAGATGATGATATAGGTGGCAGTGATGATTTTGTGAAAAATGAATGAGGTGATTGATGGTAGGTAGTGATGATTTTGCTGTTGTTTGTTGATTGTTCTGTTTTTGGGTTTTGTCATTTTGCTGTTATGGTTTTATGGTATTGTTCTTTGAACTGTTGTGATTTTGATAAATGGATGAGGTAACTATACTTTGACTGTTGTGATTTTCATTATAGTTTTGATATTGTTGAAAAAATGAAGTAATCAACAATATTAAAAATCTGTGCTTAGACTGTTATAATTGAAATTAAAAAACTTCTATGAACTGTTGTTTTAGACATTTTCCCCCCCCCTCCACGCCTCCCACGCACCCTAAGAGCAGACTCAAAACATTGTAATTTACAGTATTTTGTTTTTGGATCAAGAAACCATATTTTGTTACATGGTGAAACCTCCGTAAATACCAGTGTTTTTGCTAGGTGCTGGCCAAAAAACACTGTAAATACCGTGCTTTTTGCTACCAGAGGCAAAAAACATCGTAAAACCGTGGTTTTGGGCTTCCGACCCGCCAAAAACATTGGTATTTACGATGTTTTTTTGCTCCGCGAGTTGCAAAAACACGCGAAAACACCACCTAATTATTTGACGATTCTCGGCCACTACGGAACCGAGAAAAAACGCTGCAGGGGTAACACCAACACCACCACCACCAACAACAACAACAACAGCAAGAACAACATCATCATCATCAACAACAACAACAACAACCACAACCACAACCAACAACAAACAACAACACGCAACAACTCACAACAACACACAACAACACACAACAACACACAACAACACACAACAACACACAACAACACACAACAACACACAACAACACACAACAACACACATCAACACACAACAACACACAACAACACACAACAACACACAACAACCAGCGAGTTGCAAAAACGCGCGAAAACACCACATATTTGACGATTCTCGGCCACTACGGAACCGAGAAAAAACGCTCCAGGGGTAACACCAACACCAACACAAACACCAACACCAACGCCACCACCACCACCACCTGCGAGAATTATCACCCCAGAAGAGTAGATAATTGCAACTGAGAATGTGGACAACTCTGCTTGACAACTCACGCCCTTTTTGTCTCACTGTGCTAGCAGAATTTACGCCTCCTAATCTTGAGCCAACATGTTGTTGGCGGAATGCTGATCTCATTGATCAAAGGAAGCACGATGCGGCTGAGCATGTTCACAATGCTGTGGCAACAGGGAGAGCTGAAAGCTTGGTTGCGGTCAAATTCTCTAATTGTTTCCAAACTCACATTCGGTTCAGACGTCATGTCTGCTTACTCTAGTTCGGAAAAAAAACTCTTGCAAATTGGCACGGCTCTCAAATTGGAAATGTGATCAAAAGCGGTTCAAAAACTTCGATCTCACAGATTGCTTGGACCCAGGAAACGCAAGACAATAGGAGATCATCAGGATGTTCAAAAAAGTCTCAACCGTGGAAACGTCGCAAAACGATTTCTGAGAAGCTTCAAACTCATAAGCTGTACCGCAGCTGATTATAAATTCCTCTTTCGCACGTCTAAATGTTTCTCCAAAATTGAAATCACTGTGTGAATTCCGCGTTCGAAATCTCAATGCTCTGTCAAAGATTGAAATCACTGTTCCGCGTTCGAAATCTGAACGCGCTGTCAGGAAAGTTGGAAATCAAGCTCTAAACTGCATACGACTTGCTCAAATCGCACAAAACGTGTCACATGCTATGCAGCAAAAGACACTTTCACAAATCTCTGAAATCACTTGAAAAATTCGGAGAAAATTATTCCAAGCTGGCAATGCAAGCTGAATGGCATAGGATGAGTTTACAGCATCATCAAGCAAGTTCAGCTTACTGTCTTGGAGGAGGTTGTAAAGAGTTTTGAGGTGTTCGGAGGAGCGCTCAAAGGGATTGATGGCATGCTGAAAACAAGCAAATCTCTAGATCCAAGTGTCATACTTAAATGGCTGTCGCTTTGCTCACGCATGTGGGTATGATTTGATATAGTATCACGTGAAGTCAAATAGACTTGAAGACTTTGCTAAAAGCAAGTTTTTTTTTGGTTTTGTTGGGGCAACATTTGCTCGTAGCTTGCAGCAAGTGATTAGTGATTGGTTGAGAGTCCGCCAGCGACCAAACAATGAATACGCATCGAAAGAGGTGTATGACATTCGCACCCCCTTTCGCTGGCTGAATCTCAATTGCATGGCCCATCGGCTCATCATCTCACTGAAAATCGCACGTCCAGGCCTGATCGGGCTCTGGCAGCTAGCTTGGCATCTCGGTTTTTTTTTTTGGAGCTTATCCCAGGCAGGAAAGAATGGAGAAAACAACGACGGTTCAAACTGGGTTCTCAAGCAGTTTCTTCATGGAATATCGGATTTCTGTCATGCCAGGCTCGAAAAACCGGTATGCTGGGAGTGTGGACTTGGCCATGTCCTTGCCAATGTAAACATCTCGATAGGCCTGAGCGATGATGCTACACATCGAAGCAGGATAATGGCTTACTTTGTCCCAATTGACTGCATTGAATGCAACGTGACTTTCACAATTGCACTCTGTGTGATTTGCCAACGATCTGGCTAAACTTGGATGGGTTCCCAACCACAAGAAAATCTTTCCAACCTTAGGATCTGTTTCAGGAAAACCGGAAAGCCGAGGGAACTGTGCATAGATATGGCGACCTACTTTCACAAAGAAATCTGCCATGAACTTACTGTTCCAATACCTATTTCTCTTGGGTAGCTCGAAAGTGAACTCATCTGCTGCAACGGCGAGGCTTTGGCTCAGTTTCAAAATTTGTTCCAACTCAGAAACTTGCGTTGATTCAATGGGCTCAGCATCTGCTGGGATATATTCAGGCGTGTCTGAATTTCCTGAAGGCTGAAGGGAGAAATGCACATAAACAGGCTTACCTTTCTTTGAAAATCGCTGCACAAGATCACTGAGCTGGGCATGAAACATTGTTAAATCTGCCCTTGTGGAAACTCGGACGACTGCCATTTGAATGTCTCCACAAAAACTGGCTTGAATCGACTCGGTTAAATTGCTGTTCACACCGCAACATATTTCCAAGAAGATCCCTGAAAACTTACTAGGCGACAATTCTGGTAAATTGGCTTCTTGTGTTTCTAAGATCAAGCTCAATGGTCGTGAAGCAAACTGTGATGGATCTGATTTCTGAGCGTCTGGCACAAAGACTGTGGAAGCAAGCACGTGCTCTTCATCTTGGGAGTTCGACTCCAAAGACTGAACATTCACTGACTCCGGCCTACCCCCATACAAAATGCTTTGGATTTGATTCGTCTTTCCTTTCTTCTTTTTGGCTGTCTGCTTTGTTTGGGATTCAGATTGTTGGTCTGCCAGTTTGGCTGGAAGTTCTGCTGATTCAATGAATCCCATTGATGTCCTGAATTTCAAAAACAGCTTTATTCCTAAACACTTGGTCAAAATATCTGCAATTTGCTGTGAACCCTCGACCCATGTGAGAATGATGGTTCTTCTTCGGACCATCTCTTGGCAGAAACAAATTCTCAACTCAACATGGCGACTGCGTCTTTGGAGCCCTGGTGAGGTCAGGAGGTCAGGACTCGGATGGCTGCTTGGGAATCACAACGGACTTCCACCTCAATGGCTGTGGCATGTTCAAGGTCTTCATCAACTAATCCAAAAATCAGGGAGTTTGCAAGACTGTGTATTCGATCTGAAGCTTGAAAACTTTCATGGATGTTGGTCACACGCGCGTGAGTTTCTAGAAAAAGATGCTCAGAGATACGCTTGATTCCCATGCTCTCTTGAAAGGATTCGGCTAATGCTGACAGTTCCGACTCGCAACTTGAAAGCGCGACCACTTGTTGCAATCTTGTGAAAGCTTTGATGATGGACCCGCGATAAAAAACACACGCGCCAGAAATTGATCTACGCTTGAGAAAGCGCATTGGGGCCCAGCTGGCATCACAGTAGATTACCAAGCGTTGCGCTTCTTGTTCCTCGATGGTTGCTTCGGGAGATGGGAATCTCTGGTAAATGCCTCTTTGGCTTTTCATGAATTTCAACACTGATCTCAAAGCCTTTGCATGGCGATCTTGCGGTGTGGCCATGCCTGTGGCTAGCAAAGCTATGTATACATTGATGAAAACATATGTTTGGGACATCCAGGACAGTTTGCCTAAGGCTGCTCTGTACCGCATGGCCGCATCTGGGGATAATTCATCAGACTTGGAACTGTCTTCAAGTACCGGTCGAAGATCTGGAGGATTTGTACTGGCAGTGCTGATGCTGTAGGCCTCAAACATACCATCTAAATAGTTTTCATCCAGACTGATGGTAATCTCTTTGCTGTTGGATTTTCTTTCGATGTTGCGGCCAAGAAAACGCAAACTGCCACCCCCTTCAAAACTTCGCTCTATAAGCCTCGTACGTTTTACTTTTAGGTGTAGGGCCAAATGGTCTTGAACGGCAAATGCAAATACCTTACTCGGGGCAAACACGAGCAGATCATCAACGTATGCAACTACTTGCACCCATGCCTTTCCATGCCCTTTGACTGAAACTTCTCCAGAAAAAACAGTTGTTTCAATCAAAGACGGTTTGATTCCTAACTCTTGCAGCAAGTGGCTTAAGTGTTCTACCCAAGCCAAACCGCTTGTTCTCAAGCCATTTATGGCCTTGAATGCTTCGAGGAATATCGGGCTACCATCTGGAAACTGCATAGTATTTGGTGGCATCTTCAGAATGACTTTGATGGGTTTGCCAAGACGCCGGCCTAGAGGAGAAGCCATGAATGCAGCACTGATGTCCAGGCCTAGAATCACCAGGTCCAGGACTGCTGCTTCTGCAATGAGGATTCTCAAAGATTCAATGCTGGAAGTAGGCGAAGAAACCATGAGGTCACGGGCAGAACTCTTTCCTTTTGCCATTTCCCGTGCAACTAGTCGCATGCGAACATTCAAGGGATCTTTCTCAACACAAACCCATCGGCAAGTGATTATACTAATCTGCCATTGCTTGGCAAGACGCTGGGCTTCCTGCTCATGGATTGGTCTGCCAACCTTCTGACTGGTCATGGAATCGATTTCAGTGTGCATCCCTGCATACGCAAGGTCTTTGTCAAGATATTGGCCATTGGCGTCACTGATGACATATCCAGGAAACAAAAGTAAGATTTCTTCCCCACAAAGGTTTGCCTTGCTGCTCTTGGGTTTCACTCCACGGATCTGATAAACCGATTGCAACATGCCAATGTGACGCTCTTCTAAATACGAAAGCTCAAAGTTATCCAAGGCTGTTACCAAATCTAGCTCCATAGCTTCCGTGGCTGTAGGTTCGCCTCCAGCAGCTGCAAATTCACTTAGATCTACCATTCCGTCAGCAGAGTCGTCTACTTCCATGTCATGGATGACTTCTGGCTCGTCCAACGCCTTTGGAGAACTGGGTGCAAGCCTTTGGAGAACTGGGTGCAAGGCTGGGCGAATATGGAACATCATGTGGATTCTCATCGAGATGTTGACCCCCTTCAACTGGGAGACTTTCTGGTATGGGTTGATTCTTTGGAAGATCAAACGAAACTCGTTTCTCTCTGTTTGCTGGAAAGTCTGGAAACCTCTGCTGGACGGGTTGATCAGCTTCACCCAGGCCTGGCGGTGGCTTCTGCTTGCCACTCAAACGTCGCACCTGGCTGCCATCAGGACCCTGAGACATATTGAGATCAGACATGGGATCTGATCGTCTCCTCAACCACTCAATATATCTGTCTATACATTTTTATTGTGCTTCAGTCCGTGGAAACTCTGATGGCGCGCACAAACACTACAACCTTTAGTACGTCCATGCTCATGAATCCAGGATGAAGGAACATTCTTGACGTTTGAATATTCCACAGGCTCGATAATCCTAGAGGGCAGAGGTTCAGACATCTTTGCGGAGAGATCTTCAATGGAAACATCAGGCTGCATCCGGTCGAAAAAATGCAAAACAGATGGAGACAAGGAGATGTCCCACTCCAATGGGGAAACAATCTTAAAGCTCTTGCAAACAAAGAAACGTTCTTGCCCCCCAATGACAGTACAAACTACATCCCCCAATGAGTTGAACTCAGGTCGCAAATACGTTGCCTTCTCAAATCGGGAAATGCAATCTTTCTTCAAGCTAGCTGGCACCTCTGCAAGGACAAGGCTGCCAAACATGGTTGTTTTCCGGGTCGTCTCCCGACCAAGTGCAAGTGACTTTGGACTTTGTTTTGTATCTAAGTAACATGAGAAATAATTGGAGCAATGACATAAATATGCCAAAGCGGCATTCACAGCTGTCTGATTCCTGATGCAAACATCACAGCCATTCTCACGCAAGTCTTGCCGAAGAGTGTTGAACGCATCTTTAATGGCTCGGACTCCAGCCTCTGCTCCACCAATGGTCTGGTGACCTTGCGGCGGCGCTTTGACAAATGAAGCTGGCCTGTGGTTGATGGCACCTTTCATGAAACTTGAAACAGCTTCTTCTGCGTCCGTGATAATTTCAATTGGCTCGGAGCATTCTGTGGACATATTGAATTCGCCAAGCCAGGCCTGTATCCATCGGTGCGACAAACGAATGTCCGACTGGACAGGGGCCACGCCTTTCATTCCAGTGGTCAAATCTACCATGATTAGATACTTGAAAGACTCTTTGTTTGCTTTATCCAAGTTCAAGAAGAAAAAATCACATGCCATCTCACTGCTCAACACCGACTTCTTCTTTCTTCTGTGGTGAGTCGTGGACTTGGCTGCTTGGCAAGAAAGGCAATCTGCATGGAATGGAAAATGGCCTTGACGGCGGTGTTGTTCAAGCTTGGATTTATTCAAGTCTCGTTTTCGCAATACAGCTGGATGCTCTGAAGACTCTTCTGAAGGAATGGATGCAAATCCTGTGTTTGTGTCTACAATCATATTGGGCTCATAATCAAAAGGCTCGTTCGAATCCGGAATAGAGTTAGGCTCCACACTGAGGCTTTCACGGTATGGAGATTCACTATCGGAAACAGGCCTACTACTAACATATGCTGGGCTAGAAGAGGATGCAGCAGCGGGGTCAAGTTCTTCCAATGAAACATCTGGCTGTCTCTTGGTTGTCATCAACATGGATTTGTCAGTTTCGCTCAAATGCTCAACCGTGTTCACCGGACCATCATGGATTTTCCGACGGCTCCAAAATGTCTTCTGCAAATCGCGATCATCGGAAAAGTCCATGACCGTCTCAACTTCGTGAAAAATCCATGGCACATTCTGCCATGTCACCAAGTCCAAATTGTATCCTCCAAAGCACACTTCCAATTCACTTCCGGAACTGCTTAATGACCAACCCTTTCGCAGCAAGCTGCCCACTGACAAAACATTATTGGGAACATCTGCTACAAAAGCTGAAACTAAGCACTCTTTCAACATGGTGTCTGAAGGATCTTCTCTGGACGTCAAGCGGAAAAATGCTTTCAAGCAAACAAGGGAAGTTGGATGAATTGTCTCACCGCTTGCCGATGAAAACCCAGGGCCGGTTGCTGGTCCCAGCACTTGATTCTTTACTACTTCATAGTGTTTCAGGAAGCGAGAACTCACAACAGAGGCTGATGCTCCTGAATCAATGAGCCACCAGTGCAAATCTGATGGGACATCTGGCATCATTGGCATGAAAACTGCAGCTGACATGGTACAAACATGCTTGGTTTTACTCCACAAATCTGATGGGTTTCCAAAACATGAAAAATCAAAATCAGAAGAAAATTGTTCCTCCATGAGAAATGATCCGTGGACCAAATCGAACTGCTCTTCTGTGATCTGCTCTCGCTCAAACTGCACGATCGTGTCTTCAAACCAAGACTGAGTAGGCAAAATGGGATTCAAAGGGGCTGCTGCTTGCTTCGCAGCTGACGCACGGCTGCCATCTCCATTGGAACCCTGACTTTCAGCTGGACCATTGGTAGGCCACGATTCGCCTTCAGGCTGCTCAAGCATTTCATTGACTTTCTTACCTTTGGATCCTTTGCCTTTTCCTTTGTTCTGAGGACCTGTGCTGGAACCTTTCTCTTCACCAGATCCCTTTCCATCTTTCTTTGGAGCGGGCTTCCCTTCAAGCGGCTTGCCATCCTTGTCTTTCTTGGCATGACAATTTGAAGAGAAATGGCCTGTGCGACCACATCGGAAACACGTGGCATTCCTTTCCTTCTCTGACTTTTCACCATTGCCCTTAGCTGCACCTTTATTTGAATCTTTTGCTTTCCCCTTTCCTTTCTTACCATCTTTGCTTTTGCCCTTTCCTTTCGGCTTGTCATTCGTGTCAAACATTCCATGCATGTAGGTGGCAGAACTGCTGCCTGCAATCTCTGTCCAAGTTCTCTGGTTGGCTTCGTACAACAAAGCGGCATTTTTCATTTGCACATAGTCATGGCTTGGGCTATGCATGACAACATATTCCCTCACACCAACAGGCAAGGATTTGATGAGGACCATCACCAAATCACTAGGGAGCAGGGCCAAATCGGAAGCTGGTACATTCGAGGGCAACATCCGAGCAAGCTTGTTGTACCGGCTCTCCTCGAACTCAATTTGCTTGATTACCTCTGTCACTGTTTGAGCTTTGAAAGTTCGGCCAAGCAAAGATGTGCGGAAATGCATCAACTCAGCACGAGTCTTGATCATGTATTCTTGGACAATCCTTCGCAAAGCCTCATACCCGTTCTTATCTCCAGGGCCTTCTACATAAGCAAGCAGAATGATTTTGGCTCGCGGAGTCATCTGGAAGGTCTGGCGAAGCATTGCCATGAGCCTGGAGCTTCGGGAAATCTGGTCAGTTGACAAATCTTTCTTGTCAATTGGCAGCGGAGAAGTCGCAGAAAACTTCACTTCTGTGCAAAATGGCTCTGAAATCAAAGATAGCCAATTGCAAAATGAATCGAGCCACTGTTCCATGCCCAAAATCTCCTCCATTCGGCTTTTCCACCGATTCGACTCGACCACGGGCATGCTAGGCAGCCACTTGTCGCTTCTCTGCAGCGCATCTAGCTGTGTGGATCCAGGAACTTTAGGACCCGCGGCATTTGACTGGCCGCCCAAGGGGATCTCCGTACCATCGGGTAAGACAATTTTTACCCCATGTCCAGTGCTTGAGCTCGCATTCACTGCAGTATTTGGCATCGCCGATGCAAGTCCACCTGCACCTTGCTGAGCATTCACTGGCAATTGGATGGGCGGGTCTTGTCCAGAAGTAAAAGGACTGGCTTCTCCCATGGCACCGAAGCGATCCTCATTGGCAGCCGCCACTGACTGAGAAGCACTTGGAGGGATTGGAACTCTTTGGGCTCGTAAATCATTCAGCTCATGCTGCTGACGCTCAAGGGTGTCAACAAGAGTTTTCTGGTGACCTGCAAGTTCTCGAACTGCCTTGCCAACTTCTGCTTGTAAAGTGTCCATGCTCATTCGGACTCGACTGAGTTGCTCCTCGAAGACAAAGGGGACGGAGGCGTTTGCACTTCCAGGGGCATATCCGGTTGTTGCAGGCAAAGAAACTCCTCTTCTCGTTTGAGAACGGCCTCTTGGTGACCTGTCTCTGGCCGGCTGCTCCATGGCTGCAAAATCAGATTCTGCTAGGTGTAGGTTCCAAGATCTCTTGTCAAGATCAGTTGTCTGTTGTCAATCCTGAACCCTGGAAAATCCTAGGAGAAAACCAATTCAGGGGGGTTCCTAGGAGCACACTGGCTCTCGCTACCATGCGAGAATTATCACCCCAGAAGAGTAGATAATTGCAACTGAGAATGTGGACAACTCTGCTTGACAACTCACGCCCTTTTTGTCTCACTGTGCTAGCAGAATTTACGCCTCCTAATCTTGAGCCAACATGTTGTTGGCGGAATGCTGATCTCATTGATCAAAGGAAGCACGATGCGGCTGAGCATGTTCACAATGCTGTGGCAACAGGGAGAGCTGAAAGCTTGGTTGCGGTCAAATTCTCTAATTGTTTCCAAACTCACATTCGGTTCAGACGTCATGTCTGCTTACTCTAGTTCGGAAAAAAAACTCTTGCAAATTTGCACGGCTCTCAAATTGGAAATGTGATCAAAAGCGGTTCAAAAACTTCGATCTCACAGATTGCTTGGACCCAGGAAACGCAAGACAATAGGAGATCATCAGGATGTTCAAAAAAGTCTCAACCGTGGAAACGTCGCAAAACGATTTCTGAGAAGCTTCAAACTCATAAGCTGTACCGCAGCTGATTATAAATTCCTCTTTCGCACGTCTAAATGTTTCTCCAAAAATGAAATCACTATGTGAATTCCGCGTTCGAAATCTCAATGCTCTGTCAAAGATTGAAATCACTGTTCCGCGTTCGAAATCTAAACGCGCTGTCAGGAAAGTTGGAAATCAAGCTCTAAACTGCATACGACTTGCTCAAATCGCACAAAACGTGTCACATGCTATGCAGCAAAAGACACTTTCACAAATCTCTGAAATCACTTGAGAATTTCGGAGAACATTATTCCAAGCTGGCAATGCAAGCTGAATGGCACAGGATGAGTTTACAGCATCATCAAGCAAGTTCAGCTTACTGTCTTGGAGGAGGTTGTAAAGAGTTTTGAGGTGTTCGGAGGAGCGCTCAAAGGGATTGATGGCATGCTGAAAACAAGCAAATCTCTAGATCCAAGTGTCATACTTAGATGGCTGTCGCTTTGCTCACGCATGTGGGTATGATTTGATATAGTATCATGTGAAGTCAAATAGACTTGAAGACTTTGCTAAAAGCAAGTTTGTTTTCATGTTTTGTTGGGGCAACATTTGCTTGTAGCTTGTAGCAAGTGATTAGTGATTGGTTGAGAGTCCGCCAGCGACCAAACAATGAATACGCATCGAAAGAGGTGTATGACATTCGCACACTGTGGTGTGGTGGGTGTGTGGGACTGTCCCCCTCCCCCCCTGTGGTGTGGTGGGGGTGTGGTATGGCATGTTGGGTATGTATGGTGTGTATGGTCGGTCTGGTATGGCATGTTTGGAAAGTATGGTATGTTTGGTATGTATGGTATGTATGGCATGAGTGGTTGGTATTGTATGGATGGTAGGTATGGTATGTAAGTCTGTTGGGTATGGTATGTTTGATATGACAGTATGTATGGTCTGTATGGTATGTATGGTTACTATGATGGGTATGGAATATTTAAGGTAGGTATGGTATGTATGGCATGTATGTTTGCTATTGTATGTATGGTAGGTGTGGTAATTACATTTCATATGTATGGTACGTATGGTATGTATGATAGATATGATAGGTATGGTATGCATGGCATCATTGACATGTATGGTAGGTACGGTATATGTTAAACACAGGTAGTGCTGTCAGAGCACACAGGTAGTAAATAGGAAGTAGATACAGTAGATACATAGCACATGTATATATGACTATAGGTAGCACGTAGGTACTTTGAAGGAGTATGTGTGCTACGTAGGTCGCCTAAAAGGTAGCATGCACCTAGTAAATGCGAGGCTGGTAGTCAGAAATGCTGCCAATAGCTTGCAAATAGAAGGGAATTGGGGCTGCTACCTGCCACAGACCGCCAAGAATTGCAACCAGAGACAAAATTTCGTACATAAGTCTGTCTCTCTCACATCCAGGGTCAATTTCTCTCCATCGATATGAAACTCCGAGCTGACGGTAAGTTCAGGCCGAGAGGCCCTGAGCGGTACACAAGGTCAAATCCTGCAAAGCATGGACCCATTCAATCAATAGTTGGCTGATGATATCTAAGGATACCCGCCTTGGTAGTTATTGGTTCAACTCATCTGAAACATATCAAATAGATTCAATGTCCTTTGGGCTTTTATCGGGGTGACAAGAATTGCAACCAGCCAGCCTGACAGTGCTGGCTGAGATGCTCGACCCTTCTGAATGATGGTTGGTTTCAAGCCCTTTGAGGATGAAAAAGAAACTAGCGGTCCATCTGTACAAAGTGGGAGGTGCTCCACCATGAACATTCAGTAATATGTAGCATTATAATATGATATACAGTACTGTCATGTCCTGTCTATAAGTACCAGCTGCACATGAAGAGCAAACTCGAACAGAGTCGTGGTGACAATTTTCTGGTAGTGGTAGATCAATGGTAATGGGCTACACTGAAGGGATCGCAACTGCCAGAAATCATCTGTGAGGTGACCAGCGGGTGACTAGCGACAAGCATCAGACCTTGAAAGAGGAGTGCAGAAATTGAGAACACGCAGACCAGCATGCTGATGACCAAACCCTTGCTCCTTGCAAAACGGTTTGCAGGGACCAGCAGCAGCGGTGTATGTCAATGCCAGATGGGCAGCTAGGTGCAACTTTTCAGTCGTCAACTTGATGAACACGCTCAAAGCCTTGAAAATTACTCATTGTGCACTGGTCCATCTTGATGGTTGAGTGAAAAGCAAATCCCGCCCCAGTGTCACTTGCCCATTGGTCCTGCCAAAAGCGTTGCCCAATGAAAGCCTCGGCAGGCGCACTATCAGCCTTTCTTTGACAAACTGGTTGGGGGCGAGCCTACATGGTTGCACCATGTTGGACCACTGCATCACGCAAGCTGCAAGTCAGACCGGCTGCTTCTGCTTCTGGTACTCCACAGTGACAGGTGGTGTCGTGGGTGTCATGTCTCTAACTCCAGTATCCCCAGCATCCACCCTACCGGACCTGGATAGCCGAGGTACTAGAAAGATGTACACACATTCCACCAAGGCCATAGAAGGCATAGGCCAAGGGCCAGGCAAATTCACTCTCGACGTCAGAAAAGCCCATCAACAAGCTACCGATCTCGGCCGCACAGCATGCAAGTAAATGGAATGACTTGGCCCATACTTGTGATCATATGCCACTTTCTGCCTACTGTACATATCTACGATAGCCTGCACCATGTGCACCTGCAAATCCATATGTTGAGAGGAACTGAAAGATAGTAGGTGGGCTCATGTGGGACTGGGTGGGTGGAATCCCCACAAGCTCACCCACATCAGGCCCACAGAGGTGCAAACACTGAGGTTTCAGCATGTGGTCGAGTGCAACTTACTACTAGTAGCTACAGTAGCGTGCCCCCGCCTTACTCTGCATGAACCAAGCTACTCTGCATGAACCAAGCTACAGTATCTTCTGGGAATCAATATGAAACTATCTACCAGCAGTACCGCGCAAGGCGGTGGCGAAAGTTTCAAAAATAGGAAACCTATAGGAGAGGTTGGTTGTTTACACTTTTGACCTCGAAATCTGCTTCGCGGCATAACGGTGTGCTCTTTTTCGACATCTCAACTTCCAAAAGTGGTCCGAACGTGAGGTGTTTTCTACAATGTGCTTCGCTTTAGCGAGCCTACTTTTCCACCCTCCGGAGCAACAAATCGTCGGATAAACACAGTGATTCGGGACTTTTCTACCTTTTCCCGCACCTGCAAAGAAATTCTGACTCTTTTTCTTCTCTGATCTTCTCTCTTCTGCTCTTCCCTCTTCTACTCTTCTCTTCTCTCTGACTCTTCCCACCTCTGCTTTTTCCATCTGTCCATATTGTCGGAAGTTTGACTTCTAAACTTCCTTCGGTGACTCAAGGCACCCAAGACGTTTCCATTGTCAGGTTTGATTACCAAAGAGTAGGTCCATTTTAAACCCAGAGCAGCCCAAACTTTCGGCATCCAAGCAGCCATGATCAGCACAAGGCCGGTAAGGATTCCCCCACGAGGCCCACAAGAATCCACCAGGACGCCACAAAGAACAGCACCAGAGATGTTGGTGGCGCTTCCCACTGTGAAGACCAAGTTGAAAGCGACCTGACACAGCTGAGGACTTGGAGCAAAACTACTGGACCCCCGGAGGACAATCTAGACATGACTTGCTACATATGGATGGATGGGGCAAATGATCTTCTTCATACTTTTCCACGGTGCTATCAAGATGGACATTTGGCTTGGTTTGAATGGATCTGGCACATGTGCTGACAGTACCTTCCACACAGCCTGAGAATCCAAATCCTTGAATCTCTCCTGGAAACCATGTCAAAACCAAGAAAGACGTACTGATGAAGGATCGCCACTGCAAGCGTGGGATCGGGCCCGTGTTCGCACAAAGTCGCTCAGAGTGACCCAGCAAATTTGCGGGTGGTTGCCAGAATCGTAATTGGTTTTCCAGCTACAAGTAAAAAAATGCATCGGACATCATTGGACTTCATCCTGACGGCTTCGTCCCGAAATGCAACGATCACCTTAAACTTTGGCCTTGTGTGGCCTTGTGTGGCCTTGTGTGGCCTTGTGTGTCGTCAGTCCCCAAATGAATGTGGGGTCAACATGGCAAGATGAATGGACCTAGAAACTATATGAACTATCCATAATTATCCTTTGTTTGCATGCCAGGATGCAGTTCGCTCTGCACAGATAGATCGGTTGTCGCATTTTTGGCCTCCAAGATGGCGAGGCTGATACCATTGGGATGTCACAGCAGCATGGTATGTGGTGCTGGTCAGTGAGCTTGGGGAGTGTATGAAATCCCAGTTGTGACTATGCCTCATTTGAGCTTGATATGAGCATCTGGCCAGTTGATACGCAATCCAATCGGAGAGACATGTGGTCCCCATTGAACAGGCCAAAAGGATCCAAAAGGATCAAACATGTCTTTTAGTGGCTGAGCCGAGCATCTGTACACACCCTCGTTCCTCAGGAGGTTCAGCAGTGAGGGCCAGCCATAAACGTTCCCTGTACCTTACAGCTGGCGAGTGGAGGCGCTGAGGGGCTCCGTCAACAGCTTCTTTTTAGGAGGTTACATTGATGGGCCCAAATATCATCATCAGGTTTGAGCCACGCTCAAAGCATTATATAGTCATGCTGTTGGGGGATTGGAAACCAAATGGCCCATCACTTGCAGGAACCTACAAACCTGCATCTTTTCTGTCTCAACGTCATGTTTCTGTGCATCTTTTAGGGGCAAAATGGGGCAAATTAAAACTGACCAACATATGCCACTCAAACAGCAAAAACGAATTGACGCGAAGCGCAAACGCGCGGAGTCACAGTGTATCTAAACCCTGGCGCGTCCAAACTTGATACCATTTTTCTTACACACCCCTTTGAGATGCCTTTAACCTGAAACATCAAGATGAAGCTGCGCAAATGTTTAACACAGTTTGAAAGTGAGCCCTCTGTCAAGCTAAGCTTTGGACTCAAGAAGCTTTGCCACAAAGTAAAGCCCAGCAAGAGAAATGCTGCAAAGCCAGCAGTTCGAAAAGTCCTTTCAACAAAGAACAAAACGGAGAAATGTATAGAAACGTAGTGCAACTCTCAGCGGTCACTGCAATGGTATTGTCACATCTGATCGCACCTTGAGATAAGTCTCAAAGAAATACCAAGAAACAAAAAACAAACCGCATCCAACAGCTTTTCTGTCCACTGCCCACTCTCTTCTTGCATTGGAGACACTTCTCTTTCGCATTGTTGGTTTGCTTGTCCGCATCGCCCACATAAACTTCAGAACCCTGCGCAAGGTCTCGGCCCATGGCGGACAACAGGTGTAGGACTTGAACCTATGACAGCCACGCAACGCTACACAATACAAAAGGATGTGACCAAAGTTCAATATCATTAATTATCATCTTTGGAGACCTACAGTATGCCAGTATGCAAGCAAGATCAACCACCTTCACTCATTGTCTTCGTGATTCATCATATTACAGTATATCATATTCATCATGTCTTTGTGTGTCTTCGCATGCTTCAAGGCTTCACCGAATCTCGGACTGATACTCTCAGGATCTCTCCGGGGGGTATGACACGACTCGGCCATCTCTTGATGCATTTGCGCGGCTTTTGTGAACCTCATGTCTTTTCTGCAATGAAACTTGTCCGTCAGGCCTTTTTGACCTTCCCGTGGCACAATTGCAAAGCAATTGGTTGGAAATGCAACACCTCTGGACGCTCCAGACCCACCTGCACATGCACAGCAAGACATAAAATATCAGATCAAACAGCCATCTTGAACCACTTTGTCTCAAACAAGTCACCTGCTTCCCCACAAGTGTGCCTTCCAAGTCAGTAGTACTCTGATTGGTGGTTTCAACCCATCCTCCAAAAGTTCTATAATAGGAATATATTGGAATCATCATTCCAGGAAGGATGGACCATGACAACCATTTGGAATGAGCCAGCATGGGAGATTCTTTCGGAGCCCTAGGTTCAAGGCCTGTAGCAAATCATTGCTGCTGCATGGAAGCTCTAGACAAGCCTCAGGGAAGAACAGAATGTGTGAGGGCATTCTGCCCATAAGATGACTAGATCATACTAGATCCAACACAGCACATTCGAATGCAGAAACCCGGTTTCTGGGGGAGTTTCTTGCTTAAATTAGGAGCAGGGATTGCTGTAGTCTAATTCGTGACTTGTGGTTCTTTGATACCCAAGGAGTGGGGAACCCTCAAGAATCCTCAAGAATGGATATCTGATGGTATCTGCGCTCGCTCTCTCTCTCTCTCTCTCTTGCTCGCTTCTGGTTTTTGGAAATGCGCTCCTGCTGATTCCTCTTGTGACAAGTAGTTGGGGGGAAACCGAAACATGACAAATATTGGAAACCGCCACCATGAATCAACCGGCGTTCGCTAAAAGGCTTATTCATATGGTTAGACCTCCCTGCACAACGGGTTGCTTGCACCAATCACCCAGCCCCGTTGCAAAGTTATGCACTGAGTCGGTGGCTTCAGAGCTGCAACGCCCTCATCAGGGAAAAAATCAGGTCCCAAACACGGAGGGATATCTGTAAAGTCTATGTACCGCAAGGCTGCAAAGGTTTTTTTTTTCTGAATATCCTCCACAATTATGGCCCGCTGTGGCACATACCTAATTGGGAGATGCAAAAGAGACTCAATCACACTCAATTGGAGGCCAGTCTAATGAGGATCCCGTGAAGGGAACAATGGGTGAGCACGTGCTGTAGCTCTCTGGTTGTTTGCAGACTTGTATACTTTGTGCTGGCTCTACTGAGGTATTGATTGGATAAATCGGAGCACGGAGTTCACATGTGGTTATACATGGGTAAAATCTAGAAATACTATCAACATTTTCCGGCACTTGTTCAAAGCAACCTTGGGGGTGCAACCTTTCTTCCATCCCAGTCTCATCAAGCAGCTACTTGGCTCAGTGGGGTAAGAAATCCTCTTCAATAGATCCAAGGGACCTGACGTTGCGCACCCTGCCCAGAATCAACATATTAAACTGGGGATGCTTGCAGCAGCAATGCCCACCACAGCTGCAGCAAGCGCCAGCCTTGGCACCCAGCTGTGGTTTGATCCTTTGGCCTGGTCCTGTCCTTGGAGGTTGGGCCAATGTTTTTTCCCAGTATAGCATATGGAAACCTATATGCAGTACCTGTACGCACACAAACACGCACACACACACTCAGAGCCCATACACACACACACACGCACATATATATATATACATACGCACATATTATAATATATCAAGTAGTTATTGCACACATGTGTATGCCAGCATCAGCGTTAAGCGATCACATTTCCTAGTACATGTCAGCGATCATTGACCCACAAAGCAGACCTGTTGCTAGTTCCATGTATGATTTATGGTATCCATTGAAATCAAAGCTGGCAATGGAAAGCATCCCAATTTGTGGGTAAGTTTATTTATTGCTTAAAGTTAAAGCTGTTGCTTTTACATTGCCATGTCTAAATCACCAAGGGGTAAGCCTATGGTCAAGGCACAAAATGACGGATAAACTCCAGGGGTCTCTTTCCACCCGATTCACGCCGTGGTAAGGCTGACACTGCAAACATGGTAGTCGCTGTGAGTGACGCTGCGGGTCCGTTTCCTGGCATCCCCACCATGGGAAAAGGAGACAGACCGCCAAGAAAATGATGCTTCTGATTTGCCCCCGACATCAACCTCATCAACCTCGACATGAGAAGTTGGCTATGATGGAGCAAGGCAAACTTATGAATTCAGGGTGCCACTGCTGGAGCAGGAGAAGTTGCATAGGTCACTGGAGAGTGGGAGAAATGTGCATCCCCACCTGGACTTTCTCACTTTCGGGCTCCTTGGGAACTACGTCGGCCTTGCCAGGACTTCTGGTTCGGCATGGGCAGGACAGGGTGTGGCAGCCATTGGCAGCTGGCTTTGTCACGAGGGGAACTGGAAAATAGCCTTGGGATGTCTGAGTGTCCACTAATTACTGGTCCTCATGGTAGAAAGGCTGAAACAAATGATCCATCCTGGCTTTGTTTTCTCAGAACATGGTTCCGTGTGGGCCGCGAACAGCACGCTAGCCTAGACTGATGCCGATGACGTCCAATGACAAACTGAGGTACACAATGCCATTCCTGTTATATATTTACACGTGCACATGTATTCCAATTAAAGACATATGATATAATACATGCACAGACACGCACCCATATACCCTTCTGGCAGGCAGTTTCACCTTGACCCCTTGGGATTACCCGAACAAAATGCTTCTTGAACACTTTCTCGACAACTGTGTATTGTGCGTGCATGAAAACAAAAACGTCAGGTTGCCTGACGCAAATAATGCCAACAACATGCCTTGGACCTGACTCTGGCAAAACCCCTGCACAGAATTCCTGCATGTTCTTGCAAGAAAGCTCACAGGATAACAGCTTGAACATGTATGAAGTATGTGGTAGAGGCAACTTGTGAAGGATTGATTGAACAACAAAACACCTCAAATATGTGAAATATGTAGCCAACATAATCGACACTGTGATTGCAACGAGGGGTTCTGCCACAATCTGCAGTCTGGCCACCATTTTGTGGAGGCATCTAGTTACGAGTTGCGCAGACAAAGGTGCCATCTGACCATCTGACCATCTGATCACCTGAGGTGAAAGGTTGTTTCAAGCTTCACAATCAAAACCGTGTCTCTATCACCAGCACTAGAAGAAGCCAAGCCCCAAAGCAGCACATATTTGCATCTGTACAAGTATATAATTATATAAATAATTATATATATAAAATTATATATATATATATAAAATTATATATATATATAATTATATATATATATCATTATATATATATAATTATATATATATACACATACATATGTACACCCTCTCCCGCTGTCTCTGCGTAGAGTTTTGCATTGTACCGTTAGCAAGCAAACAGATCCGTTTATATGTATATAGGATTATATAGGTTGGTTGACAACTTCAGTATTCTGTCTGCGTCCCATGCTGCTGGAGCCTCTCTTCATCTCAAGAATTGATTAGACTACAAAAGGATAATGTATAATTAGTCAAGTCTAGTTGTCTAATGCTGTCTTAACCCTCTCTCCTTCTCTTTCTCTCTCTCGCTTGAGCCTATTCTTTTGATAACCTGTGCGGAAACAACCTTCCTCACTCATCATCACCATCATCATACCAGGAGACTTCCTGTACTGGAAAACAGTTTGTACCATGGTTCCCTGGCCCTTTGGGCCAAAGACAGCCGTGGTTGCCAGAAACATAGCTGGATCTGTGATGTCCATCTACCGCAGAATTCCCACCAATTTTCTTCGCATAGATCAGGACATCCAAAGTCCAACTACACCATCTGCTGGTGTAGGTGGTCTATATGAATTGCTAAGAAGCAACCATATAATCTCGCTCTGTACATGTCGAGAATTCCAACTCCTGTCACATTTCTGGGTTGGCCTCCTTTCAAAGAACTTGACTTGCTCCGATCACAAACACAAATAGAACAATCAGAATTCAATAGTACTATCACAAACTCCATATGACTTGTCAGTTGATTCTGTAGGCTGGTGAACGTACACACTTTCTTCGTTTGAATCTTAAGATTCAGCTTCCTACGGATCCTGTGGAGAAAAAATAATTCAAATACAGAATGCTCGGACCGAAGCCCTCTTTGGTGGTAACCATTCACATGGTTTGATGCTCCCTGCAATGCGTCGAAAGCCTTCAATCATCAATTGTGCCAGAAGGGGGATCCTGCTTCGAACTGTGTGAGCAGCACAAATTGCCCGAGCGGGCCCAGCCCTGTCAGCTGATGATAGATAGAATCACTGCCACTAGACCTAAACCGATCAGGAAAATATCTGAGGTGAATTCCTCAGTCATGCTGGGCGCGCTTAGGTCCCAAGTCACAGTGAAGACTCAAATGATAACAAACATCACACTATATAATGTGGCAAGCCCAATAAATAAACCGTTCCCATGGGTGGTATAAACCATCCGAAGTTGGAGCTTTATTTTTGGGTTCACCATATTGCAAAAACTGCCAAGGCTCAAAAAAGCCAAGTTCACTCCAGTTGAGGCGCAAGTGGGCACCACCAGGTAAAATCATGGAGCAGTAGGCAAAGAACACCCCACCAACCAATTTTAAGACTGACAGGGACGAGATCATGGCGCCTAAGTTGCAAGTTCCAAAACATTTGAGGATTTTAGATACTGTATCACCTTGACATATCTCGAGCATGCTGACGGGCTGAGTACATGTTATTCATTCTTATTTTCATTCAATTGAAGATTAAGCAAAATGATCTCAACATCAGCACCACCATGTCCTCACCCTCCTTATGACCTGATAATGATCTTCCTCATCACCACCATCACCACGCCCCTTTAATGCTTTTCATACGGTCACCCTGGACTATTGGACTGTGCTCACATTTAGTTGCCACCGGTCTGTTTCATCTTTGGAACCCTTTTGCATGTTGAGCTGCCAGATTTACTTCACACCGCCCTTGTTCTCTAACAGTCTCCAACAGCTTCGGAATTGTCACCGAACACCATGACTTGATATATCCAAACCATTCCAAAACAATGCCAAATAAATCAAACTCAAACCCAGTTCAAAGTTAAAAGACTAATATCAAATTAAATACATCTGGTTTTCACTTGGTATGACATTCCTGCTTGAGTGAGCATCCCAAAATGTCACGAACCGGACAATCAACCATTCCAAACACGAATGCATGAGGAAACGCAACCCAAACATATCCAAACCATGAACCGACATCTATCTGGCTTTCCTCTCCCTGTTGTTGATTCTTGCACTGTTTGCATTGTATCAAGAGTCAACCTGAACATGATGCTGCCATGTGCTACCCTTCCATGTCTGAGGTCAGGGCCCAATATCAAGGAGATCAATACCAAACCCCAGCGCAGTAGCAGCATCAAAACATAGTCAGCAGCTGACCAGCCGCTGGAAGCACTGGTCGATGCCTTCCGGCTGAGCCCTGTCGACGCTGTCGACACTGTCAACTTTATCGGTGACAGCGGCGACAACCTGGGTCACTCGAATCAGGAGGGTGCTGAGTTGGAGTTTGACACCTGGCTTCACTCATCACTACTTCTGAATAATTCTTGGCTATTGACGGTCTGATTTATATGTTCGAACCATTTTAACCCTCTGAAATTGCAGAGCAACAAGAAAGTCCGTTCGTATGCCAGGCATCGAAAAGAACTAGTTATGCCAGGAAGCTCATCGTTTTGATCTGATGCATCTGCGTTCACCTGCAAAGCATGGGCCACCCAGTCGGACACGGCGATGCTACAGTACGGGCTTTACCATGAGCTGTGCTCTGAAGGAATGACTCAATCTGATTTATAAATGTGGGTATGTCATGTGCTGCGTCGAAATTTTGCCCAAAGTGGATGGTCTGATACGAAGCACGACCAATTTTCTATTTTCCACAATGCCAGGTCGCAAACTCCTGTGTCAGCTCTTCTCCAGCATTCTCACCCTCGGCTTCCTTCGTGTTGAAGATGCGCCGTGCCAAGGAATCGGAAATGCCTTTCTTACTTGTTGAGCAGCTCAGATTGTTAGCTGGAGAGTGAAGGTTTCAGGATGTTCTAGTAGTAGGTTCCCATGCGCCAAAGTAAAACTGGTAATTGAATGTAATTGAAACATCGACCAAGATTGATCAAAATTGGGCTGGGGTTCAAGTCAAGAGAAGGAGCTTGAGCTTTCTATCTTGAACTTGACAATGTGTCCAACTAAAACCTCCTGCAACAATTACAGTACACAGGCACAAAGCCGCCCATAGGCCATAGCCATAGCCGGTCCAAGCGTCTGAACAATGGGAACATCTGTAATTGAAAGCTGATACCCACGACCAGGATCATGGTATACCTAGGTGCCGGCAACATTTCCCATTGCAACATTTCCCGGCAAAACATTCGGGGTTGAACCGTTTCACCTGTGATCTGAAGACCTGTCTTCTGACAACCACTGCATGCATGTGGTGGAACAAGGATAGCAACCATTCAATCAGTGTTTCTTTTTTCGGTAGTCAGCTGGCTATACAGGAGACTTGCCGACTCTGTAGTTTCGTACAATTTGTCATTATATCGCCCAATTTCATTCTCATCTCCATTTTTTGCCTCCTTACCCTTGGCGATTTGGGATGGCTTCGACACACAAAATGATAGCAGCAACATATTCCGTGAGCGAAACTGGTTCACAAGACTCTTCAAGGCGCTTGCATAGCTTCACCTCTATCGCATGGTGGGGCAAATTGTCAAAGATCATTACCTCCAGTGCAGCGCTCAAAGCAAGTAGCCGCACATGTTTTTGGTTTCTATTTTTCTTTGCCGAGCCAGCCATCCCAAACACTAGTGAGAATTCAGGAATGAGTAGAAATGCATTCCCAACATTTTCCAACACTTTCCGACATTTTCCAAAAACTCCAGCTTGAAGTTGAGGGGTCGAACATCACTTTCTACAAGCAGACTCATCATACCAAACTTCTGGTTTCCCACCTCCACATCTTGGCCATAGGTTCCAAGGCCAAAGACACCGATGAACACAAAAAGCGCCAAGGATATGACGTGGCTAATGATGATGACCTGAATGTCGCAGAATTTGTCTTTTTGTGTCAGAGAATCAGCGGAGGAGATATTGACGTGTGGATGCCACGTGGAAAGTTTGAACCCAAAGAAATGCAATTGCAAGGATAGTGCTCGATCACAACTGACCCGTTACATTAATTTACATTATTTACATTCAACCAAAGCTCCCTAGTTGCCACAAGAGAGCGGGTGCTTCCCAGTGCCAGTCGTACTGAAGCTTGACACGAAAATGCGGCCCTCACAATCTCACATCAGTTTTTCTACTGCTGATGGTGTTTCAGTTGCTGCCCTTGGGCACAGAATTACCTAGAATTGCGGTAGCATCCATTTCATGTGCTCGCTTGGTAGGTTCAGCTTGCTGCCAAGTCACAGCACCAAATGGTTTGGGATCATCCACCTTCATCTGAGTGAAGACATGCTGCGACACCACAACTCCTCTGCGCTGGAGAGCAAGTCTCTGTGGGAACTGCTTCCGATCAAATCCACCTGACATCCCTGGAACGGACAGATATTCAATGAAGTAGTTGCATGGGAAAGTATTCCAGAAAGGTCGCATGACCAAGGAAATGGACAAAAAATGACCCAAAAAACATTAAACAAACATACAAAACCGATCATCATCGATTGATTTTTCGGGTCCTTCAAAGGCTGATATGGCTGGGCCGATACAAGCGCCAGTACCTGGGCACCAAGGACATGCCAGACATGCACCAAGGAAATGCCGAGAGCAACCGGTGATGAGGGCACCCCACCAATGTATTGGAAGCCACACGTCTTCAAAGACCGCATCACCTCGCAGGTGAGGATGGGAGTATACGACAATACGATGTATCAACATGTGTCAACCTGTCTATCCCAATGATGATTCATGATTATTCCGTACACCAGATTACCATAGATTGGGGTTCGAATGCTGGCTGTGAAAAAAACAACACCGTCTTACCACACCATGAGCCTTTTGCTCTACTACATGTGCATGCCTTCGATGTGCCTGGTCGGATCCGATAAATTTACGGGTGGTTTGGGATTCGACTCATTAACCTCTGGGACAGCATATGAGGAAATCACCGCGGACTACTTTGCATGTCAATGTAGAGCAAAAGAACTGGTTCATGGTTGGGTCTATCCAGATGTTTGTGCTTCTATCTGCCATCCATCTATGTACATGAACCCCATGAATCAAAGTAGGTGAGTAGGTGCGTAAACACCTGCATACACTGAGAACGAACCAATGCCACTAGCTCACAGGTCTCATTCCATGGCTTTTCCCCAGGACAGCTGCTCCACGTGGCCTGCTTCAATTCGCTGAAGGCCAAAGCGCAGCACACATAGAACGATGCAAAGGAAAGCGCCCAATGCCACCATGGAAAGCAAGGCCACGCCCCTCATCTTTTCAATGCTGCTCCTAAGTTGAATGGATGTTGCGAGCCTATGGATGTCTGTCGGAGTTCTGGCCCAATCTTGATGAGATGAGCAAATGAGCAGTGACTAAGGCTTGATGGAAATACCTTGAGCTCATTGTGTGGTAGGGTTGCAACTGTCCGCAGTATGAGGTTGCAAACAGCAATCAAGTCACCCGATAAAGTAAACATCCGTAAATGTGCTTTTGGCCGCTGGTCAATTTTGTCCTTTCGTTCTTAGACCCAAACAAATGGCCCAGTTGTACTTTGTATTCAGAGCGCAGCTACGCGTAGCAGAAGGCCTTAGAGGTGTCCCAATATTTGAAGCCTAATACCATTGGGAGCTGCAGGCCATTAATCAATTTGCATGTCACTTGTCACTTGTCACCGGTACCATCTCAAAGAGTTTGGAGGCCTTACAGCACCTTCTGCTGGCTATGCTCCATTCACGCAGCGACGTCCAAAAAAAGCGAGAAATGCACGAAGTAGCTTCATTTGCGTTTCTAAGGTCCCACCAACAACAACCAACCCTGGCGGCCTTGAAAAAATGGGACAGCCCTTGGTTCAGTTGGGCCCAAGGTTCTGGAGACATAGAAGGACACCAAGCAACACGTACAGCTCCTGGCTGGGAATGTCCCAAATCTGCTGCAGGGTGTTGGCCACCGTTCGCGTGTAGGCGCAAGAAAGTCCAAACTGCGCAAGCATTACGTTGATGAAGCAGAGACGATAACCGCCTGAGAAGGCTGAACCAGGCTGAACCATATACAAGACAACTGTTCTTTGCAAAACAGTGGGCACCTAGTCATTTCTCAAATCCTTGCTTCTTCACTTCATTCAACCACCCCATCTCGCCAATGATGATACATTCCCACACTTGCCATGGAGTCATATGGCTAATCACTGAGGCAAACAACAAAAAAAGCGATCGATGCAACTAGGGGCTGGTACTACTGTTTATTTCCCCCCCACCTGTTACCGTCTCTGCAACCAAAACAAACAAAGATATCAGATATCAAACAACTTTTCCTTGCTGCCAAATTTCTGAGTCCAAAAACTTCCAGACTGACTCGTCCTAGTGGCCCCAACCCCTGCGCTGAATCCACCTGGCAGTCGCTGGGCCCCACGAAACTCGCTTAAACAGGATGGCTGGAGGTTAGAAAACCTGATCGAATGATTCACAATGGATATGAAATGATATGAATGGGAATGGGAAGTATCAAAATATATTAAATTTATATCAGCATCAATAGGATTCCAGTACATCAATTTGTGTTTTTGTATACACAAAATTGCGGTCAAAGTCTCTAGACCCTAGGCCCCTCCAGTGATGGCCACGTGGGGATGGCCTGGGTTGAACGATGTCTCTCCAGTGTGAGATTTATTCAAACCTACACTAGCAAAACACTCAACTCCTCATGATTACTGTACTGCTTGGCATAGTTCTATCATGCTCTATAGCTTTTTTTGAACCACATCTGGTTATCTGCCCCAAAAAACATGCTTACACAAGTTTCTCATGATATTTCTGTGAACATCACCGTTCTTACTGGTTATAGCATGTTATACCCTGAAAAACATCCATTGATTTCCGAGAATTCTCTGCCAAATTCCCCGTCTGAAGCGGCCTGCTTTCCTGATCGTTCCAGTTTCATGCTGCACTCAGCCAGGCGATAGGTCCCAAGACCTTCGGCCACAGCAACGACCACCTAGGGATGGGATGAGACACGATCACTGGGGATGGGTTAGAGTTGGGTACCACCAAACATGGCCAAGACGAAACATGTCATCCATCAGAATCAGTCCGCTGGGCCTAGAGTGAAGCCCAACATTTTTCCAATTCA